ATACAATAAGTTAGTAGCAAGTTTATCTGTGTTATGCAGAATACTACTGAAATAAAATGAAAGTTAAAAATCTTATTCATAGAATCCAATTCTAACGTAGTTAGTTAATAGTTACTCAACATCAAAGCTTTAGAAAGTAATTTTCTTCTTTTGTTAACTGAAATATAACTTTAAAAATGATCCACTTTGACTTGGATAAAAGTATATGCAAAATGCAATTGATATTTAAAAATAAGGATACTGCTATTTGCCTAATTTCACCAAGAGGAAAAATCATTTCAAATAGAATTTTTCATTGTCCAGTTGTACTCAGAATCAGTTGCAGTTGCAGGAGGAAAAAAGAAAGAAAGAAATTTCCAATCCTACTCCAAGGATAAAAGACAGATTAAAATAAAATTTTCCACACCTCCATATTCATTAGATACCCAGAACACAGTGAATCAAGTCTTATCTTTTTAGGATATCACAGAGAGATAATATGTTTGCTTTATTAAATACCCCCGAATTAGACTAGATAGAAAAAAAGTTACAAAACAACCTTAATCATAAGCAAGCATCTTTATCTTACTTTTTCTTATCTAAATCCTGTTCTCAGATATTGAGGTTAGGCCTAAAGAAATCAATTAAGTGTATATACTATATATTTATTTAATGAGTTGATACATCTCAATAATACTTAGTGCAAAAAAAATTCACAAAACAGAATTGCTGGTAACTTTCATTTCAAAAACAAAAATGGCTTTTCTCTTATCTTCTCCCCCTCGGCATTCTTGGGTAGAGGTGAGCAGAACTCGGCAAAAGTGGCAACCACCCAGTGTTTCTGACAGTGTTAGAAGGAAAAGGCAGTGCCACCACGACCAAGACGTGGGAAGTTTGGTCTGCTCCTCCTTCCAGCCCCTCCTTCCAATAATGAAGTCATTTCTCTCCCAGACCTTGCTGTAGATCTGGCCGGGCAGCTACAACTCTTCAAGGCTATCTCACAATTTTTTTAGGTCCAGGAAAACTTAAATTTGATTACAAACATTACAGTGACCCACAAGGCTCTATAAGTTCTGTCCCATCTCAAGCCACTTCCTGCTACCCCCTGACCTCATCTCTTACCTTCACTCACCCCACCTTCTCTCACTCTGCTCCAGGCCTACTGGACTCTCTATCAGGTCACTGAGCCACCTCTTCCCTCTGCCTAGGACACACATGACCCACATATCCAATAACCTTCTCACTGAAGCTTTTCTGACCACTCTATTTTAACTTGCAATTCCCTACCCCTGCACTCCTTATCTCCCTTACGTGCTCTATTCTTCCCCATACCACTTATCACCATGGGATGTAATACATGCTTTTACTTACTTGTTTATTGTCTATCTCTACTCAATAAAAGGCAAGCACTGTGAAGCAGAGATTTTTGTCTGTTTTGCTCACTGCATGTCCCCAGTATCTATAACAGTGCTTGGCACATACTAAAAGCTCAAAAACTACTTGTGAAATAAATAAGTGATTCCAAGTTTGGGAATTAATGCTGGTACCCATCAAATATTAATTAGACATTAAGAACATAAAACTATACAAGATGTTGTTAAACACAGATCATGCAAAAAACATGATCTAAGCAAGCATCTGCTTGCTCAGATGCTCACGGAGTCTAGCTGGAGAAGCAGAACTAATATACATGGAGTGATTATTATAGTATACTATACATGGACAGTATTAGGTATGACTATTACTACTAGGTTTATTTGCATGACTCATGGAATTTGCCTTGTTATTCCTGGTTATACCTAGCACATAATTAAATTCTGAATCAAATGGTATAAACTTGTCATAGGAGTTCAGAGGGGGAAAAAAATGAATGAGTTGCAAAAGTAAGAAAAGACAACAGGTAGACAATGAGGTTCATCATAGGCTTTGTGGATGTAGAGGCTTGTGTTGGCAGTGAAGAGGTGAGTAGGCATCTCAGATGAAGTGAATTTCATGAGAGGACAGACAGGCAGGTGAGGAACAGTAGGAAACTTATCTTAAATAAAATGATAGTACTCACTGATGAGTAGTGATGATCTGGGGAGGACAATTTGAGTCTAAATCACAGGGAACCTAATCCTCTGAGCAAGCGGACTCAAGTCTGGATGGAATCTCATAGCACATGCTGGGTACCCAGCCTGGGTCCCCTGGAACCCTTCTACCAGGTTGCTACAGCCACTCATGAAATGCTAAAGGTTCACACCAGCAACTTTCTGTGTAAGCAACGGAAGCTACCTCCTTCCCTCCACCCTGCATGTACATGCACACACATCCACACACATCCATTTCCAGGAAAACTGGTGGCCATTGACTAACAAATGCAAGAGAGGGGGGACAAAAACCCTGTTCCCTTGCCTCAAGGCAAGACAGCCTCTGTGGTACAATTTTGTACCAAAGTTACCTCCTGGATCAAGCTGAGGCTAGATACCCCTGAAACCACATCCTCTCAGTTTCTTCTTCTTCCCAATCCTGCTTCGCTCACTTCGTTGTACCATTTCAAGGACCTCTCTTAATATATTACTTGTACATGAATTCTATCTCAGGTTCCTGTTCCAGGGAAACTGAACTATGACAAGTCTGTAAAGGGAAATACTACATGTTCACGAAGAAAAGTACATGTTTAAGAAGAAAAGAGTGACACGGCACAAGTACTATTGTAGGTCATTCAGTTTGGAAGGAGACTACAAAACAGTCTGGTTGGTTAATAGATGGAATAAAAAGGGTAAGGTAACAGGAGGCCAATTAAGGATGCTGTTGTCAAATTCAGAAATAAGTGGAAGAAAAAATATTTGCTTCCATATGAGAGAGAACTTAGGAAAAGAAACAACTTAGTTTAGGGAAAGATTGAAACTAACTCTTCAAAGTTTCATTTTTTTCCTTGAAAGGCAAAAAGTATTTCTTCAGTAGTATTGTTATTAGGGCTTGTTTTTTTGTTTTTGGGGGGTTTTTGAGAGAGAGAGAGAGCACTCACATGCGAGAGACTGGGGTGGGGGGTAGAGGGAGTGGAAAGGAGAGAATCTTAGGCAGGCTCCACACACAGCGCAGAGCACTATGCAAGGCTTGATCTCATGACCCTGAGATCATGACCTGAGCTGACCTGAGCTGAAATCAAGAGTCAGATGCTTAACCGACTAAGCCACCCAGGTGCCCCAGTAGTATTGTCAGTGTTATACCATAAATTCTTTTAAATGCAAATCTCTTTTCAGGTTGACATTACTTAACACAAGTGTTCAAAAACTTGAGAATTACAATGAATAACAATGGGACTCTAAAATTCTCTCTCCTGTTTTGGGCCCTGATTATCTATATTCAGAAATATGAAGACAAGATTAAGCAGTATCTCCAAATGTTTAGAATGACTTGGTTTGTTAAATTTCATATTTAAGTAGCGTAAAAGAATCTTTATTAAGGGTCATTAACAGATTACTTAAATTGGAAATGTATACAAACAAGGTAACATCTGATTTTCATCTATTCTTATGGGACTCAGAAGTATTTTCAAAAGAAAATAAGATACATCTAAGCTTCTAATCTAATATCTAAGCTTCTTGATTTCATGGTACCCTTTCAAAATTCATACTTAGTAAAAACGACTATAAATAAAAATGACTACTTATCATTTAACTAGTAACAATAATTTTGTGTTATAGATCACAGTACACAGAATAGAAAGGACACTACAAAAATAGAACTTTTTAGCAAGGTTATTTTTTTCTCTTTGACTCCTTTATATGCATTAAAACATATACCTAACAGCTATCAAAATTTAAACACAAATAACCATTGACTGAACAGTCCACTGACAGGAATTTCTCCCTCCCACACACAAAAAAAGGTTGGGGGGAGGGACCGGTTACATGAAAGTAAATCTGTAAGTCTAAGTTCATAAAAATTTCTCCTATTCAGTTTTAAGACCAAATTGATACACTTCCAGAGAAGTACATAACTTACCCTGTATATATCCTTTAAATAGTCTCAGGAGAGGCTCCGAGAAAAAAAGGTTCCATAGCCAAATATATTTGGTACCATATATGTTATTCCCCTCTTAAAAATTAACAATATACACAATAATTTACAGAAGCCTCTGAAATGTTTTGGGGGGAAAAACGATGTTTTCCAAATTTTATAGAACTAGAGAACACTTTTGTAATCATCAAAAACAAGACTTATTTAAAATCTTCCATACCCAGCTGATAAGTGATAGCTACGTTCCCTATAAACCTTAAAGGTTGAAAGCTATCATTCAGTCACTCTCTCCTCATTCCCTCTCATCTGCCTTCCCCTGGGCCCAAGATACTGCAGTAGTTACAACTTTAGAATTCATAATAATCATAGGGAACTTACTAAAATATATTTCTTGGCCCTTTCAGATATTCTGATTCCTATCAGTATTTTTAACAAGCAATCCACATGATTTCAAGGCAGGTCAAATGTTGAAATGCTCAAAATGCCTGATATATTATAATTAATGAGATGATTAGCTATGCTATAACTGAGGCCAGAGTAACTTTAAAAAACAAAAACAGTAAGTTCAGAAAATCTGCATTTCAAATGTAAAAATATTTTTTCTACCCAGGGATAAAAGGGCAAAAGACATACTAAGAATAGCCAAACCATATCTTAAAAGAATACCTTCTAATATACTGCTCAGAATATTAAAACCAAAAGTTTTACCCTATAAATAAGAATTTTTAGCCTGTACTCTATTGAGAAATTTCAGGAATTCTTAGATTTTTCTAAAACTGTACACACAATTTTTATCAGTACATGAATGACATGCCTTTTTATGGGGAAATAATCCAAAGCCTTCACCAATTTTTCATACTGTTTGATTACTCAATTTAAAAGCCATTATATTTATTAATTTATCTACCTGAAACAATGGTAGTAGAAACTTCCTAGTTACCACCACAAATCAGATACACAAACACACACTCCTCAGTATTGTTTTCTCTCTCAGAGGCAAATAAAGTGCAAATTACCTTTGCAGAGTCATATTCAAAGAGCCTGTACAGCCCTTAATTTTGTTCTGGGCTTCAAGATGAGTCATTCCATGTGCACTTATTCCGTCAATGCTGAGAACCACATCACCTATTCTTACATTTGCCTGGGATGCTTTGCCACCATCTTTGAGCTGTAATAAATATATTTCATTAGGAATGTCACTCTTTAAAAAACAGAACAATAAACACACATGAAAATTATACTTTTGTTTGTATTAAAAGTATATTAATATACTTTTAGAAAAAGTAATAAAAAGTTATCTTGATTAACAGGTAAAGTTAAAATTCAAATGACTTTCATGTTTACTTTCTTAAATTCCTATTTGCTCTCTAAAAAACTGAAAGAATTTTTTGAAAAAGGTTCCCTGATAATTTCTCCAATTCTTTATTGTGTAACAGCAGCGTATGACTGTTATGAATGAGGAAGAGAAGCAGCCAAGGAAACTACATTTTAACATCTGTCATGTGAATAGGGTATTTAAACTCTTCTCGAAATAATGCTTAAAACTCTTTAAAGGGCTGTATTTTTGTTTGAGCACAAAGAGCAACACAGGCAGAGGATCTCCTGAACAATCTTTCCTGTCGAGTCCAATTCCTACCCAGTGTTTGGGGCACTGAATTCTTTTAGATCACAGACCCAAGGATCTTTTACACTAGATGTGCTTCCTGCTCCAGGCATTTAGTAGGAGGGGAAGGAAACCAGTTGTGTCTGAGACTGTCAGGCGGTTTTGTGTACCACAGTCTTTAATCCTCAATCTTTCTTCCCTCTCTAAACAATTTCCTATGTGTTCACATAACTTAGTTTGATATCCTTCAAAGTTCATATGTATCTATTTCACTGCTCCAAAAGAAGCAAACAAATAAAAAATTACAGTAAAATGAAACATGATGCAATTTTAATACATACCTAGAAACATGGAACAAGTACAAATCAAAAGAAACCATTCTAATTCAATGACAAGCTCAGAATTCAGTAACTGTAAGTAGATCACACTGAATATTGAGTTGTTGGAAGACAAGTGAGACTTCACCCAAAAAAGAAAATAACCAATATTCCTCAAATACTTAAAAGTAAAGGATTTTACACAGTTTCTCTTTGGAATGATGAAAAAATTCTGAAAATGGATAGCAGTGATGGTTGTACAACACTGTAACTGTACTTAATGCAACTGAATTGTACACTTAAAAATAGTTAAAATGGTTAACTTTTATGATTACCACAATTTTTTAAAAATAAAAAAACTAAATATTTTGGAGAACATTTTACTAAAATTACTTCTTTTTTTAAAGATTTTGTTTATTTGACAGAGAGAGACACAGCGAGAGAGGGAACACAAGCAGGGGGAGTGGGAGAGGGAGAAGCAGGCTTCCCTTCCCGCGGAGCAGGGAGCCCGATGCGAGGCTCGATCCCAGGACCCTGGGATCATGACCTGAGCTGAAGGCAGACGCTTAATGACTGAGCCACCCACGCGCCCCTAAAATTACTTCTTGATTAAAAAATATATCCCAGGGTGCCTGGGTGGCTCAGTCAGGCTAAGCATCTGCCTTTAGCTCAGGTCATGATAATCCTGGAGTCCTAGGATTGAGCCCCTTGTCAGGCTCCCTGCTCAGCAGGGAGTCTGCTTCTCCCTCTCCCTCTGCTCTTCCCCCCACTCATGCTTGTTGTCTCTCTCTCAAATAAATAAATAAAATCCTTAAAAAATATAAATAAATAAATAAAATAAAAAATATATCCCTCCACAAACTAAACAAGAACTGAGGACTGGAATTCACAATTTGAAAGCAAAGCAATAAATAAAATAGATATCGAATGTTCAGTCAGGTTAGGTTTTGATTACCATCAGCTGTCAAACTCTTTCCTTAAAAATAATGATCAAGGCAGACCAATCTTAGTACATGAAAATAAGTATCTGTATCTAAAATCAAGAAAATAGTGGTGAAGATTAGAACCACTGAGACAGGCCCATGTCTGCGTTCCTCTCCACTCTCTCCTAATGGCAGAAGTGTGCCTGGCACACTACAGATCTTCACTAAATATATATTGAATAAATGGATACCACAGATTTATTATTTAACACTGGCATTTGTTTTAAATTGTGAAATGCGCCTAGCTGGCTCAGTCGGTGGAACATGGGACTCTTGATCTCAGGGTTGTGAGTTTGAGCCCCACGATGTGTATGGAGCCTACTTAATTAAAAAAAATAAAACAAAATAAACTGTGAAATTAGGAAAAACTAAAATTTTACATAATTAGAAATTCATTTTAAAATACATCAAGCGACTAAAAAAATTCTTGAAATTAGTAAGAAAAAATACCTATTTGATCAAAGCTATACAAAATCTCACAGACACAAAGTGTAAAAAAAGATTTCAAAACTTTCAAATGAAATATTTCCTATCACATACATAGTATATCACATACATAGTATATCAGGATTTTATTTTCATCTTTACACTAACAGAAACAATCCTCTTAGATGCCAAGATATTTAAGGGCAAGAAAAATTAGTAGTATGTTGACACTAAAGAAATAAAATTTCCAGAGTAACAAAGCAGATGAAAATATAACTCACAGCACACTTATCAACACAGCTATATTATATATATGTACACATATACACTATTTATTATATATTATATGATTGACAAAGTAGTTCCAAAATTCAAAAAAATTAAATGGACTAGTTTTCACAATCAAGGGATCAAGAAAAAAACAAGACAGAACTTTATTAAGTATATTTTAAAATACTATAAAGGCAGGTATATTTATTAAAATATGAAAGCTGTGTAGGGTAGGAAAAAAGTCTAAAAACAGCAGTAACTATATTAAAAGATACAGTTTTACAACATTAACAGGTGTAGCTGTCTTTTAATGACCACTATTTCTTTTTATGAATTTAAATATAAAGAAACCACTTAATTTAAAAACAGAAATATGAACTGTTCTTCTCAAATGCAGAGACCCAAAGAAAACTGTTCCTAAAAGCCAGCAATGCCACTGCTTTCTATGGGATTTATTTATAGGGTTGTTATAATGATTAGGTGAGACAAGAGCTCAATAGATGTTAGCTATTATTATTATTTCCTTGACTTCAGATAACTAACCTGAGAAATATAGGGGCTGTATTAAATGATCTCAAAGGTCCCTTCCAGTTTTTTTTTTTTTTAAGATTTTTTTTAATTCATTCGAGACACAGAGATACAGAGAGAGAGAGAGCATGAGCAGGGGGAGAAGCAGAGGGAGGGGGAGAAGCAGGCTCCCCGCTGAGCAGGGAGCCCGATATGGGGCTCGGGGATCATGACCTGAGCCGAAGACGGATGCTTAACCATCTGAGCCACCTAGGCGCCCCTAAAAGTTTATCTATCTGGGGCACCTGGGTGGCTCAGTCTGTTGAGCGTCTGACTCTTGGTTCTGGCTCAGGTCATGATCTCAGGGTCCTGAGATCAAGCCCTGCATCATGCTCCATGCTCAGCAGGGAGTCTGCTTTAGATTCTCCTTCTCCCTCTGTCCCTCCCCCTGCTCTCTCTCTCTCTCAAATAAATAAATCTCTAAAAAAAAATAAGGGAGGGGCACCTGGGTGGCTCAGTCGTTAAGCGTCTGCCTTCGGCTCAGGTCATGATCCCGGGTTCCTGGGATCGAGCCCCACATCGGGCTCCCTGCTCGGCGGGAAGCCTGCTTCTCCCTCTCCCACTCCCCCTGCTTGTGTTCCCTGTCTCACTGTCTCTCTCTCTGTCAAATAATAAAATAAAATCTTTAAAAAAAAAAAAAATAAGGGATGCCTGGGTGGCTCAGTCAGTTAAGCGGCTGCCTTCGGCTCAGGTCATGATCCCAGGGTCCTGGGATCGAGCCCCATATCGGGCTCCCTGCTCAGCGGGGAGCCTTCTTCTCCCTCTGCCTGCTCTGCCAGTTGTTCCCCCTGCTTGTATTCTCTCTGACAAATAAACAAAATCTTTAAAAAAAAATAAAAATAAAAAAATAAAAAATAAATAAAAGTTTATCTGTGAGCTGTCTGCACAAAGGTATAGATCTAATCCTAAAAAAAAGAGTTAAATCTGAAAGACTTCATTGACAGAGCAAAGGAAAATCTATTCCCTTCCAAACTGAGCAAATGAATTGAAATTTGAATCCTGATGAGAGAAAGTATCAAATAATTTATCCCAGATTTTATTTTAGCCAATGCTTGACCTTTATTTTAGGTAAAGCATTAAAATAGATAGATAATGGGTGGGTAGGTAAATAGATAGACAGATAGGCAGACAGACAGGCAGGCAAACAGACAGGCAGGCAGGCAGATAGACAGATAATCAGAAATAGAACACAGCTAAATTACCTCATCATTTCTCACATTAAGGTAGCCTTAAAATAGAAATTGAAACCTATGGACATTTCCTCTAAATGTACCCAATAAAAGCAATTTAAATACTCTCATCCAGTAGTAACATAAAGGTAATGAACAATGTAGAAAGAAAATAATCTAATCAAATCCAATGTCATAACTAGGTAAAACTTTTCTTACTCCTTTGTTCTAGCTGCCTGCTAGATTCTAAGAGCCCATGGTCTCAAGATGTCCAAATCCAACTTCTCAGAACTATCTATCCTTTTAGGATTGCATTTACTCTAACTGCCACCCTTATTTTTAGATGGTGGAGCACAGAAATCCTATAGCCCCTGTGAATTCCGCCTCTTCCATAGGTACCAACATCTAGGGAAATTACTAAATTGAATCTATCCTTTCATTCCTCTCCCATGCTAATCCATACTCAATATGTCACCCTGACCTTGCCTACTAAGTACCACAAGAGTCTTCTAAAGACCTCCTGCCACCAAACTCTCCATATTCCTCCCTCTTTCCTCCATCTTCACATTTCCATAATGGTGGCCCTATTACCACTTCATACTAGAGAGTTCCAATCATGTCAACTATTTATAAAAAGAGGGTGAAAAAACTTCAAATACCTTCTTGCTTCCTACAATCTAGAATAAAGCTAAAGCCTGAATTGTGAGCTATCTGTAATTTGTCACCAACCTGTTTCCAACTTTAAAACAAGCTCTATAAAGTCAGAGATCATGTTTTAGAATTTGCTCTTCTCTAAGAACTTTGAATATTGTAGATATTAGAAAAATATCTAA